ATTTTTGTGTGCAAGAGTGTTCTCTATGTGGGGGAAGGGAATCCACTAGCAAGCTTCTAGCAGTATCAGCCAGCAAGAGGATGAGAGGGCTGGGAGCTGCATGCTGCAGACCGAGGGACTGGAAGCAAGAGAGTGGAGAGACCAAACATCAGTGAGACTTGTGAAGGGTGCTTTCCCTCAGCAGTGAAGAACCACCGAAATAGGACAGGGCTGTTCATGCTGTCTGTGTTTAGCAGCTGCCTGTAAAGGTACTGTCCTCCTCTCTCCATTGGCCTGTGTGTGGCTGGCTGTGTCTACACAGAGGATGTGTGCAGTCCTATTTTGGGATTCACACTCAGCCCCTATTTCTCAGATTTCACGTGCATATCATCTACTGTCGCATTAAGACTGATTTATATGCTGGTCCTCAGAGTTCTTTAACTCAGTGAAAATTAAGGACTTGACTTCCTTGGCTTTCTAAGAGCAGACTTTCTGCTTGTTATCAGTGAAATCAAAATTGAACCTCTTTGCCTAGATGCCTTGGGTGTGAAGGAAGAATCCTGTGTCTCCTATTCCCAGAAGGTTTCCTAGTAGCTTTAGCTTGCAATTTCCAAGAGTTCAAACCTCATATACCTTGGGTGTCCAATCTACCTCTCTGGGGACCTAATTGTTGAAACAGTGGAATAGTAAAGGTTCCAAAACAGAAACGGTCATTCTACCTCAAACAGTAAGTCTAGTAAAAGCACAAATCTTACACTAAGGGGTCAAATTGGTATTGAAAATAAATATTACTATCCTAGATTTCACTCAGGATGGGAGGGGACAAGAGATAACAGCATCCCAGAGAGATACATACAAGTCTCTTGATAAAATATGAAATATAACTTTTTTCTATAATATTAGTACTTTATGAATACACATACATTTTCAACAAAAAATTTCATAACTTATGCAAATAAAAACTTTCAGTGTTCATAAACATTTCCTTGATTAGAACTTTGAAAGTAGTGTTTATGATTCTGAGGTTAAACAGTCTTCCTTTTCAGTGTACATTGTAAGCCTTTTAGCAGTTGTGTGACCAAATAGCCACCCAAAGGAAGAACTGTTTTTACAGATGACTTCAAGGTAGCTCAGTACAAAATAATGAAAGAAATATTTTCATTTAAAATATAAGGTCTTGCTGGAATTAGAGTTTTTGTGGTGGTTTTTTTTTTTAAGAAGTTAAACTAAGCTCATTATTTAGTTCTTGTGGAAACAAGAAATACTTGCCAACTTATTGACTCAAACATTTTTTCAATGTTGATATTCATCTGAAATTTGCCTCTTAATAGCTGTAGTTCTGCGTCTCTCTCTTTCTCTTCTGCTGGTACTCACAGTCATGAGAAGATACTTATCTACAGACTGGGATGGACTTTAACTCCATTATACACTGATGTGTAACATTGATGAGTTATAATCATGTATCATGAGAGAGGGAAACCACAGAATACATTATGATGCCACCATGAGAAAACTGGGAGCATAAGAATCAAGAACTACAACCAACACAAACATCCATGATGATTTATAAGCTTCATATCCTAATGTTGATAGAAAATAAATCACTGTAACCAGACAAGCTGAAAAATGACATTGTAAAGTTCAATGTCAGCATTGCTAACTGAAACTATTCAGAACTCTTCATCTTAGAAGAATGTTCAGTATACAGAATTTTTTTTTTAAATTAAAGCAAAAGCTATCACCCAAATATAAGAACTTCCACCTGGCAAGAAATCACGTATTTCTATCACCTCCATCACCACAACATAATACAGAGCAAAACACGGCTCTATTGCATTGTGCATATACTGATTTGTTCACACTGGAAGTAGGCAGATTTCTTTTTTTTTTTATTTTGTTTTTACTGAGATAATTCAGATCTGAGAAAATGAAACACCTGTTGTTTTTCTGTCTGTTGTTGTGTAATGCTCTGAGAACATCTTCACAATTCTATAAATTCTGCTATAATTATTCTACCATCTGGCATATATTTTGGATTTCTCCCCATCCCCATTAAACGTTTGTAAAAAAGCAGTTGCTTTTATTATTTTCTGCACTGGCAGGAAATAGCTTGACAAGGCAGCCTTTAACTAATAACCTAAGTAGAGACTTACTGCATCCTTAGTAGATGCAATTTTTCAGTACAACTTTGATGCTTCAATGGCTCCTACTTGCCTCTTGAAAAATACCTAAATCAAACCTGCTTCAAGTAGTGAAGGTGGAATTTAATATCTTAAAGTGAATGAAACAAAGGGAGGTATGAGTAACTATCAAAAAACCTTGATGATGGAGTTGGTCATATAAAACTAAACCAATCCAAAATATGGCCTTCATTGAAACACAAATCTGAAGATAATTTTGAGTTGTGAGAACATTTTTACTGATGGCTTTATTGAATTTCTGAATACTAAATTTATAATGAAATCACATTTATAAAATCAATAATGAAAAGTCACGAGAAAGGAAAGTTAATTAAAACATAATGAAGGCTAATCAAAATCTTGGTGTAATATGTAAAACCATAAATTAGAATCACATTTACTGAAAAAGATGATTCAACTGAAATACATAATTAGAAATAATCAACATTTTCTGGTAAAATACATACAAAAAAAACCCCCCATAAATTGTATTTAAGACGTGATCTGACTAGAAGCTTGGGAAGCCAAGTACACTGATAATGTATTATTAGGGATTGCTTCAAATACAACTGTATTACATATTTGACATTTAAAAAAATATCACATAAAAATATCATAACCAGTATCTGGTCATCTGTCTCTATTTTCTATTGTCACTAACAAAAAAAAATGAACACAATTTAGTGCTTATGGATACAATTAAATATCTACTCTAAAGCTCTGCCTTAATAATTTGTCCCTCTCTTACAGTAAGTAAGTATTTAAAACTGTACATGATTTCTTCATAATAGCTTTAAATAAAAGCAAGTAATGCAAATATACGATATTGTCAGCAGTTTGAACAATGAAAAAGGACAATTATTATCATGGTAACATAATGCAGCACATTTTTCAATAGTTGACTGGAATAATAGATGTAAATAAAAACTTTTTGAATATGCCTGACTGAAAATCACCTACTACTGTTAACAGCAATTTCATCCTGTTACACTCCGCTACATTATCTTCACTTTTGTCGTGGGTTAGGTTGAACCGCCCCCCCCACACACAGCCGGTCACTCCAGGAAGTATACTCCACACAGAAGCTTGAACTCTAATCTCAGGCTTCCATTTAACAAAATTCATATAAGCAAGGAAAATCACACGCACTTTGGTCAGAAACAAATACAGGTAGAAATCACAAACTGCAAGGCATACTTGAAGATTATAAACACTGCTGACTCAGCCACAAGTGATGCTTTTTTAATAATAATGACTATAATAGTCAGTCAGAAAGGACTAAAAAAAAAAAAGGCGACTAAACTGGTCAAGGGGCTGGAAAATAAAACTTATGAAGAGAGGCTGAGGGAGTTGGGGCTGTTTAGCCTGGAGAAGACGAGGCTGAGGGGAGACCTGATTACAGCCTACAAATACTTGAGAAGGGATAGTGGGGAGGTAGGGGAAGGGCTCTTTACATTAGTGATGGGTGATAGGACAAGAGGAAATGGGTACAAGCTTAGTCAGGGGAGATTCAGGTTGGATGTTAGGAAGTATTTCTTCTCTGAAAGGGTTGTCAGCCACTGGAATAGGCTGCCGAGGGAGGTGGTTGAGTCCCCATCCCTGGATGTGTTTAAGAATAGGGTGGATGATCTACTTAGGGATATGGTTTAATGGGGATTAGGGACGGTTGGACTCGATGATCTCTGAGGTCTTTTCCAACCTAGAAATCTATGAAATCTATGACTAGGTTCAACTCTAGTCATATGACCAATGTATCATCTGAACGTGCATTATCATTTGTTGCTATATATATTTACACTTTGTTTATAATTTGAGCCTTTTGTGAAGGAAAGGATAAAGAAAAATTAAGCATTAGCCAAAAGAAAAGGTTTGCATAACAAGAATCTCATAAATACTTCGGAAACAACCATTTGATGGTTCGTTTAGAAAAAGGAGAAATCATTTTCCTCTAAAACATTCCAACCATTTGATGGTTCGTTTAGAAAAAGGAGTGCCTAGAAATCATTTTCCTCTAAAACATTTCTTCTGAATCTGAAAGATTCAGCACTAATGTTCACAGAAATCTTCTTCATATCCCACTGGACAAGACTGTTAATGAAGGTCAAATCCAGCAGCTTTCTATTTCTTGCCTGGAGGTAACAGAAGATCTGTCCCTCCTAAACGAAACTTCCTCCCTGGAGGGTTCTCTCAGTTTCCTCTCTATGTATCCAGCATGATGAAATCTGTTCCCTTAAATACTAATTAATTTAGATCAACTTTTTTATTTGTCTGCCTATTATCTTAAATATACCTCTTCTGTTAATCAAAGTACAGATAGATTTACCTTAACTAAAAATTTTCTTCTTCACTGTCAGACTGTAGATTGACAGAGCTGTTGTCAGACTCTGCACCTTCTATTATGGCCCCTTATTAACCTGAAGAATGCAGATGTTTTCTTTATTTGCTTCAAAGACTAGTTTTCTATTAATTTTTATACTATTAGAGTTGCTTCACTTTACCTCTTTACGTTATGTCTCTCTACCAGATTAAAGAGTGTGTCGACTTAGATGTTCATCTGAGTAAATAAATTTGTCTCTTCCCCCACACTTCATCAGAAAGACTAAAATCTAAGATGTAAATCTATTGTGAAATAACTAAGAACATTACTGTACTGACTTCAAACTGCTCAGTCTGCTGTCTTCACATTTCTCATCTATCTTTACATTTTTACATGCCTTTTTACATATCTACTAAAAATCTTTGGGACTTGGAATTTGGAAAGGCCTATTGCAGTGCAATTCGCACAATATACCATGTCACTGAACACCAGCGTACTGAGGCAAAATGACTCTTTAAAATTACCTGTATAGCAAGTGCTCGAGCTACAAGACTTCTAAGATACTGTAAAGGATCTTCCGGACCTTCCCACTTGTTTTGCCATGAAAGAGGACACTGAAATGAAAATATATTTACTGAAATTATCCATTCCAAAACTATCATCATTACATTTTAAGATAGCAATTTGAATGAAATTAAATAATCCAGAGAGCAAGTATATCTCCAAAGAAAAAAGGTAATACAGGTAACATAATGATCAAAGCATACAATCACTAATAGGAAGGTCATATTCCTGCTAATTCTTCATGTGGCCCACAAAGACACAGTGCTGATGGAGAACTTACAAGCACCTCTGCTATTCAATAAAGAAACATCAGTAGGTTCCACAAATATTTCAGAGAGGCCTCAGTCGATCCTTTCTCTGAAAGCCACAATGCCATCTTTTCAACTGCAGTCCCAGGTTCCCAATCCTTTGCTGCTGTCTCCTCAGCCTTGAACATGCAGTTGAGTGGCTCTGTGGTGAAGTGAATCTAGTGCAATTCCTCCACATGGTTTTCTTTTCTTGAAGCGTTTGCAGAACAACATCTGAGGACAAAATCCCGTAAAACCTTCCCATATAAATCTCCCATTGACTTCAAAAAGAAAGGTTTAAATGACCCTTCTGTTAGATTTCCTCCTTTTAAAATAAGGATAAAAACATTAATCATACCTACTCCACAGGAACCTGTAAAGCATACTGAAATGGACTCTGCAAGATTCTCTTACTTAAGTGAAAAAGAATTGATGTAAATCATTCCTTGAGGAATATTGCACAACACTGAAGACGCTGAGCAGAATAAACAGTTTATACTGTTTAACACTTAGAGCTGCATTTTCAAGAAGGTTCATGAACTAATAGCACATGAGCTGAACAGATTTTCAAAATCTGATCACAGAAGTTTGTAATAAAAAGTATCTTTCAAAGTAAATAGTCCAAATTTATCGTTTATAGATAAAAAACAGGAAATATATGCATCTGTGGACACTAATAATTAATTGAATAAATTAGAATACATACAAGACAATAAAGCACAGTTAACTGAATGCTTTTTGCATAATTATGATTCTTTGAAAACTTTTTGTATTTAAAACTATTCTTGCATTTTTGCAGACACTTTTGCTAGATGCTTTTATAGGTTGCTCACTGATCTATCATTTAGAAGGCATTCACCTAATGCTGCTCATTTATCACTCTAAATTACTCTAAGTTTAAAAAAAACTTATCCTTCGCATATAAGGAATTAGCTGGATGGTCGCACTCAAAGAGTTGCAGTCAACAGCGCAATGTCCAAGTGGAGGCCAGTGACAAGTGGTGTTCCTCAGGGATCAGTATTGAGGCCAGTGCTATTTAACATCTTTGTTGGCGACATGGACAGTGGGATCGAGTGCACCCTCAGCAAGCTTACTGACAACACCAAGCTGTGTGGTGCAGTTGACACACTGGAAGGAAGAGATGACATCCAGAGGGACCTTGACACCTTTGAGGGGTGAACCTGTGTGAACCTCATGAAGTTCAACAAGGCCAAGTGCAAGGTCCTGCACATGGGTTGGGGCAATCCCAGGCACAATACAAGCTGGGCAGAGAATGGATTCAGAGCAGCCCTGAGGAGAAGGACTTGCAGGTGTTGGTTGATGAGAAGCTCAACAGGAGCCATACATGTGAGCTTCCAGCCCAGAAAGCCAGCTGTCCCTGGGCTATATCAAAAGAAGAGTGGCCAGCAGGTCAAGGGAGGTGATTCTGCCCCTCTATTCTGCTCTTGTGAGACCCCCACCTAGAGTACTGTGTTCAGGTCTAGGGCTTCCAACACAAGAAGGACATGGATCTGTTGGAATGGGTCCAGAGGATGGCCATGAAGATGATCTGAGGGCTGGAGCACTTCTCCTATGAAGACAGGCTGAGAGAGTTCAGGTTGTTCAGCCTGGAGAAGAGAAGGCTCCAGGGACACCTATTAAGCAGCCTTCCAGTACTTAAAGGGGGCTACAAGAAAGCTGGGGAGGTACATTTGCAAGGGCATGTAGCAATAGGACAAGGGGTAATGGCTTTAAAGTGAAAGAGGGAAGATTTAGATTAGATATGAGGAAGAAATTCTTCATTCGGAGGGTGGCAAGGCACTGGAACAGGTTGTCCAGAGAAGTTGTGGATGCCCCATCCCTGGAAGTGTTCAAGGCCAGGTTGGATGAGGCTTTAAGCAACCTGGTTTAGTACAAGGTGTCCCTGCCCATGGCAGGGGGGTTGGAACGAGATGATCTTTGAGGTCCCTTCCAATCCTAACCATTCTACGATTCTATAATAGCTTAGCTAATCGTTAGTATGGAAGCGTATTTCAGATGTACACTAACATATCATCTTTGCACAAACAAGGCACATAGCTGAAACCATTAGAAGTCATTTATTGAGCTTCATATTTCTATTAGTAATCTAGCAGCTTCTTCAGGTTCTATAATCTTAAAAGAACTACATTCTTGGTGCTTTTAAAATATAAGTTTTTTAAAATAGTCCTTTGTTACATAATGCATGACCACACTAAACTAAACAAGAACAGTGTATAGAAAATACATGAAACAAATCACTTAAGATGGTAAATATGCCGAGGTTTAGCTGCCAGGAGGTTTATCTGTCATGCCAAGAGCGTAGCATTAACCTCTCTGGAGGGCCACTGGAAAGATTGCTTTATGGTCACAATCCAGTAGAGTCATCTGTGTCACGGTAAGTGGATAAGTAAGCAGATGAAATGCCAGAAACATTTGTTCAATATATTGGGAAGGACTGAACTGATGTTGGTGAGAGACAAAAATGCATAGAGTCTTTAAGTACATTTTTGTAACAGTGACCAGCATCATAGCCCCTGCTGTTTCCAATTTAAGTGTGCAGCTTAAGCACACAAGCAAGCCACACCTTCTTGCTCAGTAACAAGAAACATAACTATAAATACTAAAAAACAGCCATTACATGTGCAATTTGCATTCACTATGACTTGTACTTAGCACCAATTTCTACAACAGTCAAAACGTGTTTAAAAAGGCAATGAGATTGCTAACACAAAAACGTTAATTTATTCTAATTCTATAGCAATTTTGCTAACAAATGTTGTCTTGTGAATCTGAAAAGACAAAGAATTTAATTATTGTTTTAATTAGAAATTTGATAGATCAATAAATGCATAACAACCTTTTTAACAGTACTTGTTCGTCACATGAAGATAAACAAGATATAAATAGGAATTATCATTCATTGTAGAGCCAGTCTCAGTATCTATGAATTAGCGTCAACACAATTTATCAATTGCTGCAGGTGAAAAAAACCCACAGAGTTTCTTTGGAATCCAATTACCTAGCTATTAATGACAGAGCATGTAAATTTGCAGTCACTAATTGTACCAGTTTATAAACATGCCTAGTCTGATGCCAGAAAACACGGAGAAAGTACATTTAAAATTTTAGTTGCTTTTCTTGTATAGCAAGAATATAGGGTGAGATGACAGGTTGATATGATAGGTACAGCTAGTCTGGTGTGATATGGCAATAATCCACAATGAATAAATGCAGAGAGCGAATTGTGATTACAACTGTAGTAAAGCTTAAATTTTAAGAAACTGTAAAAATGAAAAAAAGGAACAGATTTACATGTTTTACTGGCTAATATATTTGACTGATCTTGCATGATTTGGTATTTGAAATGGAAATACTATTCCACAACTTCTAATCTGAGTGGATTTGTCCTTAAGAGAAAGCTTGATGAAAGTATAATATACTCAGAAGCCTCTGCAAGTACTTGAAGGAATATTTCTCTGGGTTTTCATTCCAGAAAAAAATATGGTTCTGTTTTAGAGTTATTACCAATAAAATAACTCCATTTTAGGGTCTCTATCAATAAAATAACATAGAGCAAATGCTGAAAATTAAATACATGAAAATATATATCAGAATTTTGTTCAGTTTCTTTAGTTTTTTTCTTTGCTTACAAGGTAAATTCATGACAAAATGACTTACCTTTTGATTTAGCAGAGCGCTTGCTAGTCTTTGTACTTCAGAACTCAGTAATGAGGTACCTCTGATGACTTTACTTAAAGAAGCAAGTGACTGATGGACATTTTGCACCAGGCGAATGGCATTGAATTGTTCCAGAGTAATGAATGATAAGATCGGAGATCCCTGTTGCTCCACAGGAGGAGACACCTTCTGATGAATCAGGTTAGAATTCTAAAAAAGAACACATGATGTCCAGTTAATAAACTCAAGGAGACTATTATGTTATACAATGTATTATTCGTTTAATTCACAGTACTTCGTATGACCTTGTTAGCTCTGAGGTAATTCAGATATGCCCCCTTTTCTGACACTGGATTAAAACTATAATGATACTTTCAGTATTGTCCCTGAGATGTTCAATATAGGCATCACTCTTCTGAGACAACTCTGTCTACCCAATTACTTCAAAAGTCCTAGATTTCTGAAAAATCTTCATTTAGCTGAATCACTGCTTTTAGTATTGGTGTTAATGTGTCAATATAAAAAGCAGTAGTGTACTCAGCATAACAAGATTGTATAGGGTACTGTAAACCATGCTGCCAGACGCAGCTCTCGCTTTGGTAAGACTGGTTCAACCTAGAAGCAAATCAAATACAAATAAATACTAAATACAGAATAATATGTGTAAATCCTGAGTATCCAACTCTGAAGGGTACTGCTGCTTTCCCATTGACATTTTTATTACTTACTTCCATTCCTTTACAGCCACTGAAAAAACAAATTTATTCAATAATGTCCAGAGATGGTAACATTTTGCAAATCTTAATTCATATGCAGCTTATTACATAAACATATTTTAGCATGTGTTCTGAAACTACCAACCTGACATGTGACAAGATGCTACACTGAATTCTAGTTATGGAATTTAAATCTTTATTGGAAAATTCTACAAGGCACAAATGCTCAAAGAAAACTCTAGACTTTGAGAAAAAAAATATTTTGCTATTTCAATTACCAGTAATTTATTAAAGGTAAAATGAAATTTTACTTTCTCCCAGGTATCTCTTCTTAAAATAACAACTAGTTTTGACTATTTGATTAAATACACTTCTGAATTGTCATATGGCATCTTGCTTTCCAGAACACATAGGATGTCTGTCTCCACAATAATTCCCAAGCACCGTAAATTTGTCAGAACTTTCATGTGTTTTTCATTTCAAGCTCATACTGCAGTCAACTATCAAGCAAAAACATGAGAAAAGCTACGTGAAAGAGTAATACAGACAGTATAGTTTATGACTGACAGAAAAATGAAGGCTAAGGTCTTGCCTCTCACATTATTAAAAAGGTATACAACAAAGTCATTTACTGTTCAAAGTGTAAGAAACATACAGCATTTAGAAATGTCATGTTTTGTTTTTTGTGTTTGCATGCATCCTGAAATCACAGTATCAGTTTCACTTCAATTTTTCTGAGACCATAGTGTATGGATCTTCTGGCTCATAGATCATAAACAAGTTTCAGCAATGTCTAGTGCACGCAGGTGACTCACGGGAGGTTGCAAAAGCGACCCAGCCTTGGATCACCTTGAGGTCCTATCTCTGCAGAGACAACCCATGCAGAGCTGTGAAGATAGCTCAGACTTGAGCTGTCCAATAAGCCCTAGACTGAACAGAGCAGTGCTGCATCATTCAAAGGACCAAAACTTGAGTTGAGCATTGAAATCCTTCAACAAATAATATTCCCTGAGTCTCAATCCAACCATTATTCAGTTGCCTGATGAAGAAAGATAAAGAGAAGCTGGAGGGTTTCAGTTTCAGCTAACGACCTTGTGTACTCAGAAATCACAGATCAGAAGACAAGTAAAAAGTAGAGTATGCAAAATTGAACTTCACCCATGGATGAATAAAGAAAGATAAGGGGAGACTTCGCCACACTGCCAAAAAAAACGTAGAATCCACTTAGGCATAGTCCTACACACAGTTACATAAATCAGGGGATAAAACCCTAAGATTTGGATTGGGAATTGGGAGTCACTTCTCCAACTACACAGCTGGCCTGTGAGGAGGCCCTTCCCCCTTGATTGAGAGCCCTTATCTGGAGACGTAAATGAATATTTAGTGTGCTTTAAATTTTTAACCACAGATGATTAACTAATACTCGTGTAATATCATAGAATCATAGAATTGTCTGGTTGGAAGACACCTTACAGATCATCGAGTCCAACCATTCACCCTGCACTGTCAGGGTCCCTAAACCATGTTGCTCAACACCAAATCCACACGGTTTTTAAACACCTCCAGGGATGGGGACTCCACCACCTCCATGGGCAGCCTGTTCCAATACTTCACAACCCTCTCTGTAAAGAAATTCTTCCTGATATCTAACCTAAATTTCCCCTAGTGTAACTTGAGGCCATTCCCCCTCGTCCTGTCATTCATAACATGGGAGAAGAGACAGACCCCCATCTCCCTACAACTTCCTTTCAGGTAACTGTAGAGAGCGATAAGGTCCCCCCTGAGTCTCCTCTTCTCCAGACTAAACAGTGCCAGCTCCCTCAGCCGCTCCTCACAGGACAAGTTCTCTAAACCCTTCACTAGTTTCATTGCTCTTCTCTGAACCCGCTCCAGCACCTCAATGTCCTTCTTGAAGTGAGGGGCCCAAAACTGGACACAGTACTCAAGGTGTGGCCTCACCAGTGCTAAGTATAGGGGGAAATATCTAGCACGCTTTTGTGTTGTAAGAGCGTGTTCTGTGAATCTCTTGTGTGCTGTAATAGTGTATTGTAATAGTGTATTCTTGTTTTTAAGTTGTGATAGTACATTCCTCCATTATATCCATAAAACCTGCAATAGTGGCATATTGAATCTGCAAGTGTAGTTGAAATAAATCATTGGCTTCAACCTTGTAGCTGAGTCTCTTTTCGCCCCACATAGTTTGTTCAGTATATAGGAAATGTAATGTAAAATTAGTACAAGCTAGTTGATGATTTTTTATTGAAGTATTTAATTGTACAAAAAAGGAAGAACAAAGACATGGCAACTTGCAGGCATTGCTCACTCTGTCATATATACTGTCTTAATTCATGAAAAACTTACTGAAAGAGAAGGCCTCTAAGTTCCTCAATACTGCCCTTTACATAACAGTCTCCTATGAACTGCATATTCATTTCATCACTCTTTTAATGCTTTCTCCTGAGAATTTGTTAAAACAACCCATCTGTCATTTTTATAGGAAAATTAAACATGAATACTGATATTAGCTTATACATTTAACGTTCTATTACATTCCCTTAAAATCCATTATGTATATAACTCACATCAGCTTTAAAAATATCCTCATGACCTGCTTGGGAATTAAGATGAAGAACTGCTGAAGTACTGAGTGCTTTTCCTAATCGCAAGAAACTGAAGATGGTTCTAATCTTTAACATTAAATACTATATTATATTACCAATATTAAGTTAGGTGTATTTTGAGACTTTGAACATTTTCCCTCTTTCACTTTTGTACTTACTACTATCTCAGTACATGACCTCATATAGACTCACTTAAAGCTGGTCCAGAGTTTTTCTTCATTACCTTCCTAAACTCAAGCTTGCTCAAACTCCAGTATGCTCTGAAAATTACTCCCTCAGAAATAACAAATATAATGAAAATAAACTTCTATACCTCCACTAGCTCTGCATTTGAGTCAAAATTCAATTTTGGTGGTGGTGCTGGGTTTTAGAAACATTCATTGACCTTTTGATGTACTTATTCTGCCTCCTTCCTCAAGTCTCTCTGCCTATTCTTTTAGATATTAGCCTCTCACTGCTTATTACACAAATTTTTCATTGTTGAAAATACAAGAAAGCATGACTCTACATTTCTGCTTCACTGATTTGCTTTGGTGAAAAAAACATTGTTATTTTGCTAAAGCCGAGGTTTCTAATGTTTTAGATAAAAAACCAACAACCCATTAATTTTCAAAGCTACTTTTGCAATTGTCTTGCAGTATTACGCAACTTTATGAAAACAATTAGTCAGCCTTCACTTTACAAACACAACAAAACACAAGGTAGAGCACACTACAATTTTTAAGGCCGAATACATCATGACAGCTTACGATCATATGTTTAGCAAAAATAATTTTGAAGCAGTTGCTTCCAAATTTTTATTATGGGTGGATCTTCTGACTTTCCTGGAGGTACTAAAGGGTCTCCCTGAAACAAGGCAGAAAATGTATCCACCTTGCAACGAAGATGTAGCACTGATTCCTGTCTCTCTCTACTCATGACAGATAGCCATTTGGACATGGTGAAATGGTTATGCAGCCCCATTGTGTCCTGATGTTTTTGCGCTTCCCTGAAAACTGTCATATGATAGGCAATGCCTGAGTTCCCTTGGACAGTGATTGTGACCGATCCAGTTGTGTGACAATGCAGTGCTTATATAGGTCCTGATCTACACTCCGTCATGGCAGAAGGCTATGTGGGAAGAGAATGGACACCAGGACACAAGCTGGTTGAACTACTCTGCTGGCCCAGCCCTGGCCAACAGGCCGTGGTGGGCCATCATTTCACATTAAGGAAGATGATAATTCTTTTTTTTTAATTTTTGCAACATTTGTTTGACAAGTTATTCAGTGATGGCTTCATTTTTTTTCAGTAAAGAGTCTTTTGTGCAAACTTATACTGAGCATGTAAGTATTTGGGATTTTTTTAACTTCATGGCAGGTTTAAGAGTGTTTAATTAATTTAATTAGTGTTAAGCTGTTATTAAATCACACTGAAAGACACTGCAGAAGCAGTTTCAGGAGAGTATTCATTACAGGGGTGTTTTCAAATGGCAAGAATTAAAATGTATGTTTTCAAATGAAACTAATATAGATCAAAATATCAAGACATTCTGTATTAGTCCAGATCAGCTAAACAGAAAGAGGAAGTTTGTTTGTGTAACTTTCAACACAAGAGTGCACTGATTTGAGCCAGATTTTAAGTATCTATTTAATTTCAAGTAAAATTCAATGAAAAATTCCAAAGTCTGCATTTTGGCTGGATTAATAAACCGTGGATGAAGGAGATGCAGTGCCAACTGTTGCGTGCGTTTGCTGCCTCTGTTAGCAAAACTATTGATTGAGAGATTATAATTTGAACTCATGAAAAAATACAAATACTATTTTACACATTTCAATGTGGTATAATTCTTCAGTGAGCACATTACTCAGAAGTTAAATAGTCCATTCACAGATTTGTGAAATGTTGGCCAATATTAGGTAAAATTTTGGTTTTATCACTGATTTCTGAAATTCACTGACTACACAAATCCTATAGACATTCTGCCAATTTAGCTGTATTATATTCTCTAAATTATTTAGACTGATTTTTGTAGGATGAAACACTGATGTTCAGTCCAGAGAAATACCCAGTCAAATGCCGTCTGTTATTTTACATAAACTCGGACATTAGATTAAGGAATACAAAAGTGATCACCATATGGTATTGACAGTGTAAAGATAAAAACATGTCCACACTTAAAGATTATGATTAATTATTCCAGTATAAATTCTGCATAAACCTATGTCAAATGGTATATTTTGTTATGCTTCAGAATCATCAGCACTTAAGAGTACAATAATTATTTTCAAGGTATTTGTAAGGTAATGCTTTTTGAGTTAATTCTTGATTTACATACTCAGCATAGGAATAAAAATGTTTAGAAACATACTTAATCTTTGTCTATATATTAACAAGCTTCAAAGTGTTTTTTGCCTCTGGAATAAAAAGTAGTTGATTTTAAAAATAGCTTTGATTTACAAATAGCATTAGCTAGATTCACTTCGGACCCATACTGGACACTTCTCAAGTTTCAGTAGTTTGAAACAGATATTTCACCACTATTTCCAACTACCCTTAGTAATGAGTACATCTGACAGGTAGAAGACAAGTATTTGCTTCTTTTAAATAAAATGGAATGTACTGTCAGAATCTATCCCATCTCTCTACTACTATCTGTATCCAATAGATAGAAGAGGATAATAATAAAACCACCACCACCACCGACTCCATGAAGATCAATAAGGTCAAATGCAAGGTCCTGCACATGGGTAAGGGAAATTGCCCATATTAATACAGGCTGGGGGATGAAGGGATTGAGAACAGCCCTGTGGAGGACTCGGGGATACTGGTGGAAGAAAAACTGGACACGAGTCAGTGACATGCGCTTGCAGCCAGAAAGCCAATCGTACCCTGGGCTGGATTAAAAGAAGTGTGGCCATCAGGTTGAGGGAGGAGATTCTACCCTTCTACTCCACTCTGGTGAGACTCCACCTGGAGTCCTGTATCCCAGATGGTCCAGAGGAGGGTCATGAAAATGGTGAGAGGGCTGGAACACCTCTCCTATAAAGAAAGACAGAGAGTTAGGGTTGATCAGCCTGGAGAAGAGAAGGCTCCAGGGACACCTTATTGCAGCCTTTCAATATGTAAAGGGGCTTACAAGAAAGATGAAAAAAGACTTTTTACAAGGGCATGTAGTGACAGGAAAAGGGACAATGGTTTTAAACTGAAAGAGGGTAGATTTAGACTGGATATAAGGAAGAAATTTTTTGCAATGAGGGTGGTGAGACAATGAGACAGGTTGTCCAGAGAAGTCATGGATGCCCCATTCCTGGAATTGTTCAAGGTCAGGCTGGATGGGGCTTTGAGCAACCTGATCTAGTGCAAGATGTCCCTGCCCATGGCAGGGGGTTAGACTAGATAGCTTTAAAGGTCCCTTCCCATCCAAACCATTCTGTGACTTTATAATGAAAAGTCTGCAGCTAAATGTAAATGCTTCCAAAATTGAGGGGGAAATTTTTTTTTACAGACTTCAGGAATAGATAGTTTTTGTCATTTTATCTCTTCATAGCTGAATATGCTCTTTTTAGCTCATATTCTGTGCCCATTCATTCATAAATAAAATAATGCATGGTTGTTAACTTAAGCAGCAATTCAACTATTTTCTTCATTCATCCCAGGTCTTTATTTAAAACTTCTGAAAACAAACACGATGCCTTCATTGAGCTATCAATAAAGAATTACAATATAGAAGTGCATGTAATGTATACGGATTTTTTAAAGATGCATAGACTTTTTCAAAGCTTAAAGCAAGTACTGGTTGAACAGACTATGAAAATTATATTTGATAAAGGACATTATTATTTGAAGTTTTTGAAACATTCAAGCAAATGTCTCCCCCCCCAAAAGTGCACAAGGTGATAGGGCATCCTATTCGGAAAGAAATCTTCAAAAGATAAAGAAGTTCATATGCTAACAGTGTAAAAGCATTAGTAAAATCCAAGAATGTTCAAGGTAATATAGGTGTCTTTTTTTAAGATACTATGAACAGTAAAAATGTAGGTCAAACACAGATGCATACAGTGACTCTACAAATACTGGGACAGAAGAGAACACAGAAATATTGCATAATTCATTTTCTTGTATTTAAAATAAAGCAGAAGAATAGATAGGCACGACAGGCTTGATTCAGGCAGGAATCTAGTTACATTTGAGATGTCTCATTCTGTCTCTAGATGCTACTCCAGCAGACCACAGGTCTCCTGCAGATTCATTGTTATATCTGCCAGGCCATGAATATTTGATGATTGATTTATTATTTCTTGAATAGTGATAAAAGCCTAATTTTACGTAATCAAATTGAGCCCCTATGACAGCATCGATTGAAGAGAGCATTTTACATCTCTAAAGAAAGTTCTCAGATACAGTGCGGTAAAAAATGGTTATATTCAAATCAACAAAACCAAAAGTCAGAAAGAAACTCGCTGCTCAGTTCTGTGAACCAGACAAGCTACAGGGTAACTCACAAGGAGGAAACTGTGAACGGCAGGATGGTCAGTCGCCAGGGATTAGCCAGAGATGACCCAGACATTATAAATAAGTCAGTCTGATGCTAATCCTTAGTGTACAGATTGGTTTTGTAGTTAACCAGAGACCTCCTGCATCCGTAGAAGTACCACACACTAAACACAAAATTTAATTTTTTAACTCAAACATAACACAGTAAGCAGAGCAAACAATATGTATATTGTTTGTATCCAATGGTTCTGTAAAAAAAAATGCTCTTGCTAGGAACACATCACTAGACAGTAACTAGGTCTTATGATAACTGCAAGGCTCCAGTACTGACCTTTTAGACTTGTTATCAACTTGTTATGAGAGCTTGCTGTCTGAAGTGGAATTCAGTACCACATATCTCTAGTTATGATGTGAAGTTGAAGCGTGGGATAACAGCAAAAGTTTTGAAAGTATGGGCACAGGTGGAAAAGAGAGGACCAAGAACCACGAACAACAAGCTTATGGTCAGCTACTGGTCCTTGAGGAAGGGCAACATTAAGAACTGGCTAGACTGCTTTTGCTTTAAGACAAGAAGATGCAATTAAGCAGGAAAGAAAAACAGCCAAGTGACACAATAAGGTACCTGCTACAGTTTGAAGAATAACCCCAGCCAAGCATCACCCAGGATGTTCAGGAACAGAGGTAAAGGGCTGAAAACTCATATGAAAGGAGAAATCAGATTTGAGGGCAACGGTACGGAATAAAGACAAGGCCTGCATCTGGTCCAGCTTCCCTTGTCAAAGAGCTCTCTGGCTTGATTAGCTTCACTGAGGTGACTAAGACCATCAAGGCCCATAGCCACCAGCAGGGACTATGTGGCTTCAGCTTCATGGTACTGCATGCTCACAGGTAACTTATATGACACAAGTTTTAAAGAACAAGTGCTTTGAATTTGCAGTGCTAATGATTAATAATGATAAAGAACTAGCCATTAGCAATGTGTGCTGTTAATGAGTATTAATGTAGTGCAGTTGTGTTTTTACTGGCCTCATTTATCAGTCTTTCAAACACTACAATCAAAATCTCTAACTTTCTGATTGTATGTGTATGCACATACATAACAGATTCATCTGAGCTCTTGCAAGGAAAGTTTGCAGGTCTAAAGGTACATTTAACTCTAGTCAGTAAGATATAACAGAAGATGTCACATTGAAATATACTGCTTTTTCTTACAGGATCACGGACCTGGTTAACAGCAGTCCATGTTCAGAGGCCACAGATTTCAACATGAAGAGAGTTCTTACATTGAGGGTGGTGAGGCACTGGAACAGGTTGCCCAGAGAAGTTGTGGATGCCCCATCCCTGGGAGTGTTCAAGGCCAGGTTGGATGAGGCTTTAAGCAGCCTGGTGTAGTGGACGGTGTCCCTGCCCATGGCAGGGGGTTGGAACTTGATATTCTTTGAGGTCCCTTGCAACCATAATGTTTCTATGATTCTATGATTTAGTACCAAAAGATTATTTTGACAAAACATGATGTATCATACACTTAGCATGGATTAAATGAGAATTTAATGAGAGATTTCAAAATGAAATGGTAAATTCTAATGTGCATCTCATGTCACTTCTTTGTATGTGGTTACTTGAGTAAAGGAAAGGTTTTTCTCATTCCAATGTTGTGTACAAGATGTTTTTAGGCAACAGTGTCTATGATCTATTACTTATTGATGAGGAGAAAAATAATGGCCAAATGTCTAGGTAAGCACCTAGCATGAAGTGAGAAGGAACCTCCCCAAGTGTGTGTAGTTGTGTAGTATCTGCATTTCAAAGAGAACTCACACACATTACAGCTAAACGGACACCCATAGTAAAAATTCAATGGTTGGAAATCAAGCTTTACAATACATGTAAAAAAACCCAACCCAACCGAACCAACCCAGAACAACGAAGGAACAAAAAGGAAGTTATATTGGATATTGCAAGCATTGTAGCAAGGATTTTAATGAACCTAAATTTAAAGCTAGCACCATATTTCAATATTATACAGGAAAGACTTTATTTAATATTTAAAATAAATATTGCCTTCTGAATAGTAAAGAAATGAAGAGACTAAGTCTGCAAAACTAAAATGTATTAGTGTTCTTCTTTGAAACACATACAAGATGTCAGTCTCATGTCTTGTGAATTAATTAACTTCTTCATTTCTTATGTTTCAATATTCAAGATAAGTCCTTAGACATTACTTTTAATGCAGTTACCAGGGGAAAAAAAAAGTTTTTATTTCAAATTATCTACTTTCCTACCTGATTAAGTTTTTTCCATAGGTTGAGAACAGGAGAAAGTTCAGTAGACCATATTTCTCTGTCAAATTTGCAGCCTGCAGTTACTGACCTGCTCAGGATCCGAAGCTGTGAAATGACCTGAGTGACGAGAATACAAATGTAAATCTTGAAGAAGGATAAACAAACCTCTTTTAGTACAAGAATGAGATACACTAGCAAATACTCTTTAATTTATTGATGGAGTATACTTTCCTGCATAATTAATTACTAATCATAATCTATTCAAAACACAAACAATACCCATATCCAAATATAGAGCATACTTGAGCCTCATTCATATTAAGCCCAAAACAAACAAAATCTGTATTTTGCATATCACAGTCATTGTCTTTTTTCAACTACAATTTAAAAACTAATGAGGTGTATAATTAATTAAAAAGCCTCTTTTCACAAAATCTATAGACAAAACTCAAAACTCAAGCTCTGCCTTTAACTAGGCTTCATCTGTAAGTAAGAAAAGAGAAATAAAAAATCAGAATTTGTTACTGAATACATATTCTACCTATCAGGCATCAAAGCTCCACGACAATTATAATCAATTCATTCTGATCTCCCACGGATCTCTTACTTATTTAGATATTCATGTTACCTTAAATTATTTAAATGTACACTTATTAGTTTAAAGAAATAAAGCGAGCAATTTGAAGAATAACTGCAAAACTTTCAAAAAGCAGGGGAGCTTCCAGTACATCAGGTCCAATTGCCTTTTATTGTTAGCAATTCTGGTAACTCCACACATAAACTAATCAAATATATGTATACATTTATAAAGAAAGAATACTGAAATTAAAATTCTTCAGTGATATTGCAGTCTATCCCTTAAACTGCATATAAAACCCCTGATATTTTTAGGCATTTTAGCTAAAATTTAGTTATTTTTCACAGTGCATTTTTTGCAAGACGTTTTAGAGAACAACTTACTAATTCTCTCCTCTTTTGCTTGACTTCAAAGAATTAAACTTGATAATAAAAATTTTATTAATGGTTCAGAAGGACTGGACTGTTTAATTGTTAGAATGAGTCAGGAAGCCAAGTTGCTTCTTCTGGATTTTGACTTCTTTTCTATTTTTGAAAGATGTGCAATGATGTAGTATTCTCTTTTGTTTTTCATTTTCATTTGCTGAAGCAAACAGCAACTTCTTATTTATCAGCTTTGATAGGGACTAGGAAGCACTACAAGACGCTAGTATACTGAACTTAATACATTAAACAGTCTTAATATATTAGATATCTTACAAGACATAAACCAAAAGATAAATATAAAGTATAAATATTTAAAATATAACAGACAAACCTGTATTTAGAAAAACAAGTTTAAAAATACTTTTAATTAAGCTAAAATAGTTTTTTTCATGAAAAGCTCACTTAATATAATGTTAATTTTGAAAAAAATCTTTTTTAGTTCCCTTAAAAATGATAATATACTCTGTTATCCTAGAGAATTATGCATACTTTTTAATTCCTGATCTCAGAAATTATGAAAATAGGATTTTTATTTCTCTGTTATATTTAAGGAATTAAAAGTGAAATTCATTCCAAGTCTTAAAAACCACTATTAGTTGACGAAAGACATAGTCTATGATAATGAAGTACCTTAGTCATGACCCTGCAGCTTGGTTTGCCAAGAGAACAACATGCATTCCTAATGAATATCTAGAAGAAACATCTCACTGTACTAAAATCTTACTTTTGTCTAGTCTGAAGTAAGATGGCAGAAAGGAAGGCAAGGAAAAGTTGCAGCCAAGGCAAAAGAGTAGCTGGAGTGAACAGAGCTTTGCCTAGGAACAGGTTACGAGCCAGCTGAGAGCGTACAGGCAGAAATCGGAGGACAAACCAACATGGGTGGTGCTTTAGTAGGTGTGTGCTACAGACTCTTTGATCAAGAAAAGTAGAGAAGTCTTCTTCTAACAGCTTAAAGGAGCCCAACAATCACAGGTCTTTATACTCATGGGAGACTTCAACCAACCCAGTATTTGCCATGAGGGTAATATGAAAGAATGCAGAATTCTAGAATTCATTAAAACAACTTCTTTATACGGGCAATCAATCACCCAACCAGGGGAGACACTCTACTGAATCTGTCACTAATAAACAACGAAGAACTAGTAGAAGATGTGAAGATCGAGGTCAGCCTTGGCTGCACTAAGCGTGAGATTGTGGAGTTTAAAAACCTGAGAGAAGGGAGCCAGGCAAGGAGTAAAATCACAACCCCGAACCTCAGGAGAGCAGATTTTAGCTTAGTCAGGGATCTTCTCAAATTCCTCAGAGAAGAAGAACAGTCCTTTCTGATGTGCAAGAAGCAAGCACAATACAAGCCAAAGAATAAGCATGGCAGAAGAACAATATGGATGAAGAGGAAGATAGTGATCTCAAGTGTAAAAAGTTAATCCACAGAAGATGGGAGCAGGGATGGACTACCCAGCAGAGTGTGCTGGTTTTGACTGGGACAGAGTTAATTTTTTCCATAGCAGCTTGTATGAGGCTATGTTGTGGATTTGTGCTGAAAACAGTATTGATAATGTTTTTGTTACTGCCGAGCAGTGCTTACACAGAGTCATGGCCTTTTCTGCTTCTCACCCCACCCCACCAGTGAGCAGGCTTGGGGGGCACAAGAAGTGGGGAGCGAACACAGCTGACCCCAACTGACCAAAAGGATATTCCACACCATATGACATCATGCTCAGCAATTAAAAGCTGGGGGAAGAAGAAGGAAAGGAAGACTTTTGGAGTGATGGCGTTTGTCTTCCCAAGGTCTGATAGAGACCTACTTTCCTGGAGATGGCTGAACACCTGCCTGCTGATGGGAAGTAGCGAATTAATTCCTTGTTTTGCTTTGCTTGCGTGCATGGCTTTTGCTTTATCTATTAAACTATTTTATCTCAGTCCACAAGTCTTCTCACTTTTACTCTTCTGATTGTCTCTACTCCACCAGGGGGCAGTGAGCAAGCACTGTGTGGTACTTAGTTGCCAGCTGGGGTTAAACCACACACAGGGATATAAAGACATTGCCCAATTGTGTTAGGATGGAGTTAGGAAAGCCAAATCTCAGATGGGTTTGAAACCAGCAATAGATGAGAAGGCCTACAAGAAAGTCTTCTGCAAGTATTCTGGTAGCTAAAGAGAGGAAAAGAAAATATGAGCCATTGCTCATAGCTTCTTTTATGGAAAATACCGTTTCATTTTCTCATTCTCCTAAATTAATTTTAAACTTTAATAATTAATAATTAAGGAGACAAAATAACTCTTGGGTTGAGAGAAAGCACTGTACATAGTCACTTAAATCAAACTTAAAACAGACAAGCACAAATTCACCCCACCTATCCTTAGGCACTTACTTAAAACTTACTTAAAACACAAAGATTACCAGTTTAGCCTCCCTACATAAACAAGAGACAGATCTTAAGTGGGCTAATTTGTCACTTCAAAGGCCCTCCCATTTCAGTACATAGGAAAACTAAATTCCTTACATATGTACCTCAGATAGACAAGTCAACATGGAAATTAGAATGAGGATTTTAATTTGCTGGAATCCTAACTTCAAAACTCAAGAATTCAGGTTCTCTCACTGTGCTATATATATGTTACCATCAGGTCAACTTATAATGAACTTCAGATACTTACTCTAGGATGATACTAATTGTGCCTTAAACATGATACTTCTGTAACCACAAAGAGAGACTAGAAGTGACTAGCACAGATGCAGACATCTGATAGGTCCATTGAATCATATTCTTTGCACTCTAGTTTGGAAAAGTATCAAGGTATGTACTTATAATACTAAGGAAACTGAAAATCTAATCGTAGTTGTATAATTCAGGTCACTCAAGAGTACATTTACAATACTTAACCTTTGAATGCTCACCTTTGTTGTCACAACATATTCCTTTAATATATTATACTCTAAAAGCTCTTCTATGTTGTGCTAGTCCAGCCAAAAGCACACCTAAATATTTTGAATAATGACAAGAGTGAAAAAATCTACCATAAACCAAGAAAACAGTACCATCACTGAAAATATAAGAGGGATGGAAAGAAAGGTAATCAAAATTTAAAAGCAATCACCAATCATTGTCTGTTTAAAGAGGTGTGAGAATATTATTCAGAACCACGAGTCTTTGTAGAAGCTGCCTGTTTTAAGTAAGGTCAACTAATCATAACGCTATTTATATAAAAATTTCAGTAGAGTAATTTATTTGTGAACAGTGCATCTAGTAACTACGAACAGCGTACACAAACTGCTACTGAACATTTTCTCCATTCTTAATGGAAAATTCATACATGGGTTTTTTGCATTGTCAGCACAGAAAAATAGAAATTGCATATATTAATAAAGGTGGGGTAGTCAAACTTAAAATGTCAATATTTATTTACCTAGTTACTAAATTAATTCTGCATCTCAGCTTTTTATCTATGGCATACTTTATGGGGTTTTGTGGATATATGCTGCTACAATATTGACCAACACATTATAGTAAAAAATCCACACATTTAGAGAAATTAAGAGAGACAATGAACAAAATGCAAAGTAATAAAGACATGGAAGATCCCATGTGGCTTCACAGGGAACTACTAGAAAGTCATGTTTGACCTGAAAACTAAAATAATTCATGGGAAAAAAAAAAAAAAAAGGAAATGTCAAGATTTTAACTTTTACTTTCCTGGAACTAGATAAAATCAGCTTTCTAGGAATGTAAAATCTATTTTTGTACTTCACTCATGCACAAGATGAGGAAAAAGTCTTGCTTTCAGTAATTCACAGCTACTGCAAAAACCGCTACTTCACAAATACAATACATAATAAACACAGGCTTATATCTAAGTCTAGTATTAATTTCATAAGCAATGTATCCTACAAATTATACAACAAAATTAAATTTTACACACAGCCTTAAAATTTGAAAAAGAGAAAGTAATAAATTCAAAACTATACTGTGAAATTCTGTCACTAAATTAAAAATAAAAATAAAAATCTAGGATCAATCATTACTGAACAAAATACAACTCTGTTCTAAGAATACAAAACAGAAAAGATTTGCTAGTCAGATAACAGCTATTTTTTTCAAGACTATGGAACAGAT